TCATCCAGAAACAAATACAAGCTTATAATGTTAACCTATTCTACTTATTTGGTAATGTGTCTAATTGATGCACTTTAAAATGTGACAAATTTAACTTTCAGTTTCCACAATGACAATGACTATTTTGAAGGAGTTATTCCAGAATGACAGCCCCAGTGGATTTAAGTCATAAAGCATTACTGATTATTCTAAATTATTTAATATTTGAACAAATCTTTATTTTACAATTTTACTAATACACCTTAATTTAAAGGTACTAATAGTGGTATTCACACTTGCTTTTAGTTGTACATTCAAATATATGCCAACAATAATACAGCTTGTATAATACTATATAATACATCAATGCAGGCCATCTGGAAAGCTAATGAATAATCAAGGGACTCCAAATTAAACTATAGAATTTTTCTTAGAATCTTTAGGACAACACTGTCAAGTTCAATCTATTCATTTAGACTCCAGAATCAATTTTTCAAACTTTATGACAGGTCTAATAGTTCCCACCTGTTTCTCTTGCTTGACTTTTGACTGGCAAGTTACCAGCTAGGGTGGAAATGTAGACAAAGACCCCTATTAGACTAAGGCTATTTCTCTACTGTGAGGTCACTCAGCCATTAAATTAGTTCCAGCCCACTTTCTCCTATGTCTATCTTAATTTTTTTTTTGGGGGGGGTATGCAGATTTTGGGGGTGGGGAGAAAAAGTCTGGTATTCAGCTTGTGAAAAGATTTAGAAGCCTATTAAATAAAACTTATATAAGTAGTATCCAAACATAAACGTCATCTGTACCACAGTTTTATTTATTGATTCAAACTGTCTTTAACTCAAAGATTTTTAATCTCTTTTTAAAAAATTCTACAACACAAAGGCCCTCAATTTATATGGCCATATTCCAATATAATCATCAAGGATTGTTCAAAGGAAATGTGTTTAGAACTACAACCAGAATTTCATTTTTGCAATTCTACCCTAGCTCCAGGTCAGGATCCAAAGAACCACACAACTAGATACACATGGCAAGAAGGCATGTACTTCTGTCTATAAAACAGTAATTTCTCATACTGCAAAGCAAACCAAGGTTTTTGAAACCAAGAGGTCTTTTAAAATAGCATGTGACTTGGTTTTGGAATCTGAAGTTCAAAGAACCACTATGTAAACCGCCCAGAGACCCTTCGGCCGAAGGTATAAATAAAATAAATAAAATAATTTTTAAAATCCCACTGAATCTGCTTCAAGGTTCTGATTATGACCTTAAGTCCCTAAATGGTCTAGGGCCACTATACCTGCGGGACAGCCTCTCCTGGTACACCTCGCACAGAGCCTTGCACTCAGAACATCAAAATCTAATGGTGATCCCTGGCCCAAAAGATGTCTGGCTGTCCTCAACTAAAGCCAGGGCTTTTTCAGCCCTGGCTTCTGCTTGGTGGAATGCTCTACCTGATGACATCCATGCCCTGTGGGACCTATCGCAGTTCTTCAGGGCATGTAAGATGGAATTGTTCCACCAGGCTTATAGTTGAGGACAGCAATGGCCTACCATGCCTGGCCTACAGTCGCCCTCTGAAGGGAGAGAAACAACATGATACACCATCAATGTTTAACTGATATTTGATTTTATTGTAATTTAACTACATTTTCCACCTCTGTATGTTTTAATGATGTTCACCGCCCTGAGTCCTTCATTGGAGAGTGATTTTGAAAAACAAAACATCATCATCATCATCATTATCATCATCAACAACAAAACAAAACAAAACAACAACAACAATGACGACGACGACGACGATGATGATATCAAAGTCTTTGGGCTCACCTAAAGTAGTTTTCTTGATCCCAGCCACTGAGCTGAAGTTATAGTAACATATAAGTAACTTACACAAAGAATCAAGTTAAACTTTTTTTAAGTCACAGTTGAAACCTAACCAGAGCAATTTTTAGGATGTTAATTAATAAAACTGTAAATATATACAAGTACTTATTGTAACCATCAATTTTTTTTATTTAAACAAATGTATACTTTTGCAAGGCTACTGATTTTCCCATTTAACCATTATATTATTTTAACTTACAAACACATATATCAATTAAAGCTGGCAAATGTAACCGAAAATACATTTGGCACTTGACTAAAATTAAAAGTTAGAATGTTTCTTACAGTTCTCTTTGCCTTGGATATCATTTCAGAAAAGGCTGTTTCCTTCTTTAAGAGAAAACAGTATCTGAGGCTGCAATCCTACAAACACTGTCAAAGGAGTAAGTAAGGTCCACTGAATAAAATGGGATTTCCTTCTGAGTAGATCTACTTAGGATTGCTCCATGAGAATTTTATCTCCTTAGGCTAAATCGATCCCATCAGGACATAGCAGTCAAAGCACAAAGGCTCAGTGCACAACAGAAAGGAGGCAAAGCAAAAGATGAGTGACAAGCAAAGGGAAGCAGGAACTAGTCATTTCTTTCTTTTTTTCCCTAGCACAGTATGGATCATACAACAGCACTCCTTTCTTGAATCAGTACTATAAACCCCACTGTACAGGCATTAGGGAAACAGTATTCTATTGAGGATATGACCCAACAGTAAGGAATAGAGAAAGGGGCAAGAAGAAAAAAGGAGGACCGGCCAATCCCTACTGGCCACCCATTGCTCTCCCCACAGAAAGGTTATCATTGGCATTATTATTACACAGATATCCCTGTTTTTCCTTTGGGAGACAAAGTAGATTATATAGTTCTCAATGTCCAGGCTAGGCTGCAGCCATGAAGATACTCATTTAGTTTTAAGAATATAATATCATCACATTCCTTGGCATAAATCATTGTCTCAGGCTGCTATGACACATAGAAATGTGATGGTAGATCTACCAAGTGTTTGTCAGACACTGAAGGTCAGAAACTAAGACAAACAACTAAATAATTTTTCAAAGTCTTACTTGAATTAGTTATAAGTCTCAATGAATACACAGTGCTTTTATAAAACTCTTTTAGGTATTTTTGTAGTTATCTTGGATAAACATTATTATTAACACTTAGCTGCTAGTTTTCATAAAATTCAATGCACTGTACAGAATGAAAAGCTTTATGCATGTCAGAAACATATTTAATAAGCAAAGGAAGTTGCATAGTGAAATTCACACTAATAGATCTGTTTAATAAATAAACCTAAATTGACACTCATGACTACACAAATGTAGATTTTTATGTATTCAAACTTCTCTGCAGCAAAAAGATATTTAAGTCTCCTATTGTATATTTCATTTAGGTCCCCATGGTTAATGCAACATTGAATGATTAAACACTTCATCTGCCAGACCCATCTGCTTGAGTAAAAAAAAAAATGGCACATCACGACCATCTATGAGTCAGAAAATAGTTATAAGTAAGAGTCACAGAAGATATGAAACATGCAGCAGCTCTTAACTAAGGAGTTAGCTTACTTGATGAATTCTGTGATCTTTGCAACAAGTAGTATTTACTATGGTCTCCTGATGACACAAAATAAAATACAAATATTCATACTCAGCATCACAACTTAATTCTGTCCACTGCAATAACAATTCCAGTTTCATCCAATTATGAACTATGTTTGTTTGAAACAAGCCGGATCTATTAGTAAGATTCTACGTTAGATTGTCAAGGAAGTCAGCAAGGAATAAGTAATTAAGTTTTAAAGATAACCCTTTCATAAGGCATAGAGGGATGGGTATAGTTAAAATTTATTTGTGTATTAACTGTAGGGCAACTCTGCCTTTACTTTCAGTTAGGAGAAGTAGTTTGAATTTGCCACCCAGCTACAGCCCAGTATTAAATAAATTTATCTTGAAATATTTTTCAGTTGCAATTCATTCACAATTTAGGAGTTGATTAAGTACTACTAGCAGTTAGCAGCATAGGCAAAAAACAAAACACATGAACTAATGAAAACTGCAATAAAAACTTCTTCTTAAAGTAGAAATGCTCTACAGTTCAAGAGCTGCATCTACTAAAGACCGAAAACCACACTCATTACTTAATGAAAGACCACAACTGAAATGACATTAATAATTTTAAACAAATGTTAAACCGGAAGTATAAAACAAAATCTTAATTCTAAAAAGCAGTAAAATTTTAAGCATATCAGTAACTGCCATGTGCAATAATCCAATGTTACCTACCCAGAAAACAAATGTAAAATGTTTTCCAGGCTTGATTTGGTGTACAGTCACAGTGAAGGGATGTAGAGATCTTTATCTGGGAAATGTTATCACATTCGACTGCATGTACACTAGAATTACAATCTTGTAACTACAGCTGTCCAACTACAAATTTACAATAAGCTCCACCAGAAAAAAGAGGTGAACAGCCTGATTGTCTGCTTAGGTATGCACCAGCGGTAGAACAAAGGATGGTGTAGGGCTTTCAATACTAGCATAAGCACTGGGAGGAGGCAGAGGGCTCATGAGCCACTATATACGGAAAGCAATCATCAGTGCTGCTATGGCCAGAGCTATGAAAAGCCCCCAATACAGTGCAAGACTGGATGTTTTGGGGGAGTAATGAGAGGCTGGCCTTTACTAATGGCATCCTGAGGAGAAAAATGAATGCTTTTTTATCTTACCATCAAAGCAAACTTGCATGAGTTAAAAAAGATATAAGAAACAACATAATTGTTAGGAATATTATTTAGCTGTTGAGGTTTGCACTGTGACATATATACATCCCGTGTATTTCTTTAAAATACAAAGAAACTGTACATTCTATAGCGTGCACTTTCTCATACACATAAAATTTATTACTGCAACTTAGTAGCTAGAAAAGATATTTTATACTTGACAATTCATGTTGGAAGATTTGATTAGCCTATTTTACCAGACCTTGCAAATCAACATCAATATCAAAATCAACACCAACATTTTCCCTATATGTCAGACCTATTTTCAGTAAACTGGAAAAATGGGGAACATACATAGAATATATTTTCTATATTTTACTTGACATAAAGAAATTATCACCAGCATTATTTCTCACCCATCAAGAAGATTCATAGTGGTTGACGTAACCTCAGTAAACAGGACCACTTTCCCAAGATTCCGTGCCTGTAGATTTTGTTTATATATCTCCAGGCTGAAATGTTCAGAAGAGAAAGCTTCCATTTCTGTGACTACAGGAATGAGTGAGGGTGTTACTTTTAATTCCTCATTGCAAGATGATACAAACTTAAGGGACACTTTGTTAGAGTCGATTACTCCTTCTGCATTCACATTTCTTCCAAGCCATTCCAAAAAAGAATTGTGAACTTCCTGTTGGACACAAAAGAAATCAGATGACTATACTAAAAGCTTGTACTTTCCATATTTGCTAATGTATTTTTAAGAAAGAACACTTGATTACCCATTGACTTTGCCTAGATGCCCTTATTAGCTCATTTGATTTTGAAGCTAATGTGAAAGTTCAAGATTCATGGCACTAGCCATCTGTACACTTTTTCACAATTCATAGCATCTCATATTAAAAGTTCTTTTACTTTATCTGGAACAAAAAGAATTTCCAAAGATAAGAACTATCATATAAGCCGATATTAATAGCTCATTGCAGCTGCTATCATAACAGGCGGCAGCTTGGAGAAGTAGTAATTGCGTCTTGCTTTGGAATTTGTCCATGCTTACATTTAAATCAACAACCAAACTACTTTGGTCAGAATTATTTGTTTTCAGTAGGATGGCCAAATTTTATATATATATTGTAATTAATAAGGGTTAATAATTAAATAAGCTCTCCCAAGTGGTGACTTATTATGGGTCTTACCTATTAAAAAAAAAGGCATGAGGCAGTTCACTAAATGCATCAAGGAATTTACAGTATTTATTTTTCAGATTCGAAACTGAACCTAACTCTAAGCTTGAAAGAAACTACCTAACACCATATAGTATTTTTTTGTTTTCCAATAATCGTGCTCTTCCTCCCAGCTATTTTAACACTTAAAATGCCCATCTTATTGTTTATAAAGGAGAAAGTCTTTCAAGTCTCCTGTGTCACAATATTTATTTTGCTTCACATCCATGAAATATTTTCACTTTAAATTTCGCAGGCATGTAGCATACAAATGTATTTGTGAGTTTTCTGAAGCTGTGAACAAAAACAGGCAAGACTCAGACCAGCTAACTGCTTTGATTTCAGGACTTAAAATTTAACACTATTTACAGGCTATAGTCAGAGGTATGCAAGGTTTTGTGTTAGCCTCTATTGGCTACTTAAATGAAAGGTGTTGCTTCTAATGTTAAAATATCTGACCTTATATTCCCTTGAGAATGTATCAGGAATACTACATAAAGAATAGAACTGTGAGACAGAGGTGTTACTATATAAAAAACCCTGGCCAGGGCTATGGGGACCAGCATCACATGTGGAAAAAACCTAAAATATTTGTAGACATTTATGTGTTAAAATTAAAATCATGTTTAATTATCCAAAGATGCATATATTTGCTCAGACAGTATTTTATATACATCTCCAGCCAGCTGAAAGTGCCATCATTCCAAATCTCTCTCTTTAATTAATGATTAGGAAGTCAGCTTTTTGCAAGCACCTTATTAAAGATCTATTAAACCTGCATACACATTTTCGTCAATAGCAACCTATCCTCAGATTGGTAGAAAATTAACAAGCATGCCTCAATTTAAGACTCCAGGTATTAAACCAAAGCAGGAGAGGGCAACAGGAAACTGTACTGAAAAAATTCAAATATTATGCATCAATTTACATTCACATATTAACACACACACACACACTTTTAAAGTGGATTTTTAGAAGCACAGTTTTCCTGTCTGTGAGACATGCATCTCTAAGTAGAGGATGTTCCTTAATAAAGGAGTTACCCATTTCTCCTAGCTCCATCTGTGCCCACCACATCTTTATTAAGCCTACAGTTAGTATACGGTCAGTTGGATGCAATCTCCCATTCATAGTGTTGTATGGCCATGCTGAGAGACAACAGTTCCCTGCTTTTGAAGACTGCTTTTGCTCTGTTAGACTTCTTTTACCAACTCAATTTCCATATTCATTTTTGACATGTTACAGGCCGTTATTTTAGTATGCGGGTTTCAAGTGTGAATATTTCTTATAAATGTATTCCCACAGGACTATAGTAGACATTCAATGAGTCAAGGGAATTTAGAGGACAAGCAGGTTCACTGATATGGTAAATACCAGCTGCCATCACATGGAAGCCCCTTCATTTAGCACATGAAATGGAGAAGTTAAAAATTCTCTTGTGATTGTTTCATCAAAGAGTAAGTGAACACACAATCAAGTCTCAAGGATCTTGCATTACACCATACTATGTATATAGCCCTGCTTTCTCCAAAACAAGGAGGAGGAGGCGGTGAAGAAGTTGGTTTTATACCCCGCCCTTCACTACCCAAAGGAGTCTTGAAGTGGCTTACAATCACCTTCCCTTCCTCTCCCCACAACAGACACCCTGTGAGGTAGGTGGGGCAGAGAGAGCTCTAAGAGAGCTGTGACTAACCCAAAGTCACCCAGCTGGCTTCATGAGGAGGAGTGGGGAAACAAATCTGGTTCTCCAGATTAGAGACTTGCCACTCTTAACCACTACACCAAACTGACTCTAGAAACTTAACTTGAAGATACTCACTTTAACACATCCTGGTTTCCAATATAAATCTGATATACAAGGGCTGCTTCAGGTGTTACTTTTAAAATAGACATTGTTTAATTAGGTCCACTGTTGTCATAATTTGTAAGAATGTTACATCTATAATCATAACTGTTCCACACTGAAGGTAAATGAAAACAGTATCTATCTAGCCCTTTTAAGAAGAATTGAAACCAGCAGTAAGACCTGTGTTTAAAAATACCTTGATTCTTGCAAACAAGTGAATGGGGCCCTATGGGAAATGCTGTTTGGGGGGAGGGTTGGAATGGACAAATGGCAAAGATAAAGCATACATTCATATGTAGCATGTCCTCTTAGGATGCAAGCAGTCCTAAAATTAACATATAAGTTAGGAGTGTCATGCTCCAGAGATGCAAGGTGCTTTAAAGAACACCAGGGAATTCCTGGGATCCTGACAGCAGCTTTATTGTCACATGAACACATGAAGCTGTCTTATACTGAATCAGACCCTTGGTCCATCAAAGTCAATATTGTCTACTCAGACGGGCAGCAGCTCTCCAGGGTCTCTGGCAGAGGTCTTTCACATCACCTACTGTCAGCTCTTTTAACTGGAGATACTGGGGATTGAACCTGGGTTCTTCTGCATGCCAAGCAGATGTTCTGCCACTGAGCCACAGCCCCTCCAAGGGAAGACAGGCATAGAAGACACCATGAGATCAGAGAGCAGAGATGCATTTTTGCAGAGACAACTATTTGCTCTACCTGTCAGGAAGTGCAAGATGGATAGCTGCTGTAAAACATAAACTAGATATTGAGATGTGTGGGATGTGTGCCCTGGGTTGACTGGGAGATCAGGGTTCACTTTCCCACATGGAGGCACATTCCCTAAATCTGGATTGGGTAAGAGGCTTCCTGCCAGCAAAGGCAGGACTGGTTTAAAAGGTTGGAAATATCTGTTTTAAAAGTTGGAAAATGCTGGGAGTCAGATTCCCATGCATGGAGTAGGTGGAGGTCAGAAAGTGCATTTGTTTAATGGGTGGGGGGGGGATATCAGAGGTAAATATTCTGCATTGGTAAGTAGGATTGGAAGGTAGCTAATGTCACTCCCATCTTTAAAAAGGGTTCCAGAGGAGATCCGGGAAATTACAGGCCAGTCAGTCTGACGTCGATACCGGGTAAATTGGTGGAAACCATTATTAAGGAAAGAATTAGTAGGCACATAGATGAACAAAACCTATTGAGGCAGACTCAACATGGGTTCTGTAAGGGAAGATCTTGTCTCACTAACCTATTAGTGTTCTTTGAGGGGGTGAACAAACATGTGGACAAGGGGGATCCAATAGATATTATTTACCTTGACTTCCAGAAAGCTTTTGATAAAGTTCCTCATCAAAGGCTCATAAGTAAGCTCAAAAATCATGGGATAAAAGGACAAGTCCTTTTATGGATCAAAAACTGGCTAGTTCATAGAAAACAGAGAGTGAGTGTAGGTGGGCAATTTTCTCAGTGGAGGGTGGTAAGCAGTGGGGTACCGCAGGGATCAGTACTTGGTCCACTGCTTTTTAACTTGTTCATTAATGATTTGGAGATGGGAGTAAGCAGTGAAGTGGCTAAATTTGCAGATGATACAAAGTTGTTCAGGGTGGTGAAAACCAGTGAGGATTGTGAGGCACTCCAAAGGGATCTGTCAAAGATGGGCGAGTGGGCGTCAACATGGCAAATGGGGTTCAATGTGACCAAGTGCAAGGTGATGCACATTGGAGCCAAAAATCCTAAATATAAATACACATTGATGGGGTCTGAACTGGCAGAGACTGAGCAAGAGAGAGATCTTGGAGTTGTAGTGGATAACTCACTGAAAATGTCGAGACAGTGTGTGACTGCAATAAAGAAGGCCAATGCTATGCTGGGGATTATTAGGAAGGGTATTGAAAACAGATCAGCCAATATAATAATGCCCCTATATAAATCAATGGTGAGACCTCATTTGGAATACTGTGTGCAGTTCTGGGCACCACACCTTAAAAAGGATATTATAGCTTTGGAAAAAGTGCAGAAAAGGGCAACTCGAATGATAAAAGGGTTGGAACACTTTCCCTATGAGGAAAGAGGACGTCCTTCTTCACCCAAAGAGTGATTAACACTTGGAATTCACTGCCACAGGAAGTGGTGGGTGCTACAAGCATGGATGGCTTCAAAAGGGAATTAGATAAGCATATGGAGCAGAGGTCCATCAGTGGCTATTAGCCACAAGGTATAGCTAGGGGCTCTGGGGCAAGTGATGCTCTGTCTTCTTGGTGCTTGGGGGGGTCAACAGTGGGAGGGCTTCTAATGTCCTTGCCCCACTGCTGGACCTCCTGATGGCACTGGTATTTCTGGCCACTGTGTGACACAGAGTGTTGGACTGGATGGGCCTTTGGCCTGATCCAACATTGGCGTCTCTTATGTTCTCTTATGTTCTTACCATAGTGTTATATTTTCCTGTCATTTTCCTTAGATCTGTAAACCAGTAGGTGTAAATTATTTTCCCTGTTTTGTGTTCTAGATTAATTTGTAGAAATAAAATATTCCTGTTAGACAGCAGACTGTGGTTCAAACTCCTCGCATGCCTTAGGCACTCATGCTCAAATATGAAAACACAGAGGAAGGGCTGAAGTAAATGTGAAA